TACAATCTAATTTGAAGGGTCTTCGAAATAGGTAAAAAGTAAATTTATATAAACATCTGATTTAATTTATTACTATTATAATTCTTTTCTTTGTTTATTTATTATAATTACTRATTTGATTATTTTATCTTACTATTATTATTTATGAACTTCAATTTAATAGAAATATTTTTAGAACAGAACTAATCAAAAGCAAAGCTTATGCTTATAAATATTAAAATAAAAAAAGTAAAAATTTAAAACAAACAACAAATGAGTTGTGATTCATTTTCAATTAAACAAACCAAAAATTGTATTCAGTTGATTTCATAAATATCCACAATTTTATGCTACCCATTCCAACTATATTTTCATAGCAAAGTAGGGTATCGAAAGGGTGCCAACTGTCGCATCACCTAAGGACAACAAATGTTTGGTTGCTGTTGGGGGCGCTGGCAACCACAACGGCGACGGCGACGACGACGGCAACCGCATCGGCAGCGGCAGCGGCAGCAGCCGGTTTTTCCTTTTGGCCTGTTCAACAAGTTGCCCCGCGTTGGCATCTAACATGTTGTTGCACCTTGATTTATGTTGCAAGGCAAGAAGGCCCGGGCTGGTCAACAATGCTTGGATGCCGCTCCAATTACATCACTCAAAAAAAGAGCGAGAGACATAGTCATAAGGAGATAGACAGAGAGGGCGAGAGCGAGACGGAGAGAGAATAGTAACTACAGTTAGGAACGTCGCTTGGCTGTCACATTAGGCCACACTAATCAGACGCAAAGCCAAGTTTATCGCACAACAAGATCTCCAAAGGATTATAGTCTAGACTCCAGACTCTAAGCAGACTCCGCATAGCCATTCGTGCTGCTTGTTTTAACGGGTTCAGCTGCGGCCGGTTTGCAGCTCTTTAAGATAGCATCCCAAGTGGTAGATAGTGGTAGAAGAGGAAGACAGAACTCGGAGAAGTTCTCCTCAATGCTCAATGCATCTCTTTTGTCTCGTCTATCGTCTCTCACGTTTGATTAAGTTTTGATAGCGCCGTAATCTGAGCTCCACAAATGCTCCATTGGCCACCAGAGCTGCCGGCGCTGAGTATATGCTTGTATTTTTTTATTTTATATTTTTCTTCTAATTTTATTAATTGTTATTGCTGGCAAGTTCCATAAATTGTTGTCTATCGCGCGATAGCCGTTCCACTGATTTGGTTAATAGCCGCGATATTGATATCGATTTCGTTGCAGCTACAATAAAAATTGCTCACATTAAAGCTTCAAGACTCTTTCTCTCGGATGCCCCAAGCAATACCAGACAGGTGTCTGTCGTACCATGGGAAACGGTAACAAGACAAGGAGCTACCATAGATAAGATGAAAGTTGGAGCTTAGGCATTTGTTTGTAGAAGAGAAATTTAAGAACTTTACCTTTATGAATACTTTACATATTTGAAATATTTTGAAAAAAAGTGATTAACCAAATGAACTGCGAGAAATATATTTACTTGGCAGAACTATAAATATTTGAAAAATTCCTTAAATATGCGAGCAGCAGACAAATTTATGTACCACAAAATAGTTTATATAAAAAAAAAGATATAGCTTTGCCAATTTTTACACTATGAATAGAATATATCAAAAATTAGTTAAAAATGTATAAATCATTTAAATGTTCTAAATAAAAAATAAAAAATACAACATTTGAATTTGAATTGAATTTAATTAAATAGAGCCTAAGCTTATGTATATTTTTTATATTTTTATATTCATTTCAATTAAATTAATGATTTTTAAATACTCTCTTTACTCTATACAGTAAATCCCTTCATCGTTTTCTTGTCCAAATTCGAGGTTCAAGGTTCCCATTTCGTATGAAGGTGCCCTTCACTTGCTGCCCATAAATTGCTCACCACTGGCCAGACTCTGCGATCCCATTAAGAATCAAGCGCTTAATTTATTAAATTGCCATCGATGGCTGCCAAATTAAAATGTCAGCCAGCAACAAGTTGGGGAAAAAAATAACAGACTGAAAAAGAAACGAATAAATACTCTCTGAAAAAAGTGTCATAAAGTTGTGTGACAGATTTCTTTGATTCATAACGCTCATAAATTAGGGGCTGGCACATTTTGGGCGTGCCATCGAAACTGGTGAAATTGTTAGCCCAAAGCCAATGAAATCAATGCCAATGCGGCATGCATAAATATTTTGGCAAATTAAATGAGATTCATTTAGCTGTCGTCGTCGTGTGGGAAGCACCCTCAATGGGTTGGAATGCAGCATTCGGTTTGCATGTGTCGAACGCATAAGTTTCCATGATGATGACATTCATTGCGGCTGAGAGGAGCTGGCGACAGGCGCCAGTTGCCCCATCAAATGAATCACCTCGCAGGCTGCTTACCGAAATGGGTCAAGCATCGTCCACTGTCCAGCTAG